TTGGCTAGTCTCTTAATTATTTTTCCACTTGGCAGCAAATCAAAACTGATATTAACTGCATAAATCGAAAGACCCCCAATTCTCTCCTCGGATACCATGGGCCCGTAGTGGCGCCACGGCCAGCACGGGACTGCCGTGGCCATTATTTTTTGCACAAAAAAAATTGCAGGGAACCAAGGAGCTGACTGTTATCTGACTGGACTGTCTGATATTACTATTAATACTACTAATACTAATAATCAATTAGAGGTGTTATATCCATAGAAATATATAGATAACCAATATCTATATTATTTCTATGGTTATATCAGTCTGCTCTAAGATTTGGAATGTGTATTTTAATATGACAATGTGCCTACATAAGGTAGTGTGATTCAAATTTCAAACTTCAAAACATACAGATGTACATAGTGAAAGTATAAATGCAGATTGAAAATAGGCTTATTCTTCATAATTATGTACTGATACTGATAGTATATACAATTTTGTAAAACAATGTTTTATTAGTTATCATACTCATAATATATATTGGAGAAACTTTAGTCAAAACATCAGCTTTATCTACATTCATTTTTGAATTTACAAATTGACCTTTAAAATGATCAGAATTTGTTGCCTTTTAACATAGTCTGAAAATGCAGGAATGCCATTTCCAGGCTATAAATTTCAAAAAAATTTCAGGGGAGGGCACCCGACACACGCACTGGGACAGAGTCAGTAAAAACTAATATGAAAATATATGAACACACATTCACAAATAGGCCCTACTACCGTACCTCTCAATTACAGTTCCACTGTTGGCATCACTGAGTATATCAACTTTCCTTCATAAAAACCTATTGTAAAAACTAACGCCGAACGCTCTGCACTCGCCGCTGCGAGTGTGCCTGTGTCCGCCATGAGAATATTATATATAAAGTTATATATATTATCATTGTAATGGCGCCACAGCACACTTCGCGCAGCGCGACGTGTGCGCGGAGCGTTTGGCGTTCAGTTTTTATGAAGGAAAATTGATATACAGTGAACACAACAGTGGAACTGTAGGCCTAATTCAAAGGTACTGGTAGTATTTGTGAATTGTGCTTTAATATTATTTTCAGTTTTTTACTGACTCTGTCCAAGTGCCTGTGACCAGACCTCCCGCATGGGCTTTCGCCGACTGCGGCGTTCGCCATGTGTTCCAGCAACACACCGATAACGCCACTTTATGCTATTACTACTGGGTGATCCTACATTTTCTGCAGTAGCACATTTTCATGATTATTAGGAGGCCACTACAGCCCTGGATACAATATTTGCTTTCCAGCAGTTTTCTTCTCTCATCCATGTTCTTTATTGGACTTAACATATATGTTTTATAGCAGAGTTTCTCATTGGTTCATATTCGTTTCTCTGATTGGTTATATGTGACCCAACTCCAGCAAAACCGGATTAAGTAGGAAACTCTACAAATTGAGTTATGTGCCATATCTGATATAGATCATTTAATTTACCTTTAAAATGATATATTAATATTTGGGCTATATCTAAAGAATTGACCGATCTACAGCAATCTGAGATCGGAAACCGACTTATTCCGGAATATGCAGCTTTTGAGATAAAGCGTTCCGGGTAAGGGCCCAGTCGGGGATGAGCGGTCAGGGGCCGTTTAAAGCACCGCCTACGCCAAGCAGGAGAGCCGCAGGAGTCGGCGCCACCTGGTGAACAATGGCGACGTGCCGCTGGGCGTCAGGGAGAGGTCGCTGAGCGTTCCCGCGAGGTCCCGTCACCGCTCGGAACCGGACTACTACCATTCCGCGGAATCCCATTTTCACATGGAACCGGAGGTCGAGCCCGCGGAGTTTGCGGCGCCCCCTAGGAGCGAGTTGTTCAGGAGTTCGTCGCTGCGGGGCGCGCATCCGTATCGTGCGCACAGTGCACAGGACGTGAGTGGCGTCAACCCCACGAGGTGGCCGTCGGAATTCGCGCCACAGATGAACGGCTGGGACAACTGCGAGCTGTGCATACAGACAGCCGCTAAGCAACAAGCAGGACCTGCATATCGGGGTTCGTTCGAGTTGGTGGACGGTGGCCGGACTGAGGTTAATCAGACCCAGTATCCGCCGCCGCATCAACATTTCCATCCTCTTCAGCAGTATCCCCAGCCTCACTATCCTCAGAGTTCGTATCCTCAGTACATGCAGCAGCAGCAGCAGCAGCAGCAGCAGCAGCAGCAGCAATACCAGCCGTCCGTAACGCCGCTCAATGCCAACCCTTCCAACCTATCGCGGCTGCCGACCGGTGCGCACATCCTTGACGCTGGCGCCCTCTACCGACAGAACCGCCAATACGGTGGTGCCGCCGCAGTTCCGGGAAGTTTCAGTGGGATGCTAGCTCAGGATTACACCAACGAGGAAGCGGGCGCGTTTGCTAGCGAACGCGCTGCCACCACGCCGCCACCGCTGCAGCTTGCGCAGGCGCGCACGTTACAGGGAGCATACCAGTCGCCCTACGACGATCTGGGCCACGTAAAAACGCGCTACGAAGTTCCGTTGCAGGTCCCCATTGAGCCGCAGGGATTCGCGGACGCACCACCGGAATATCGAGGGGACGAGGATCGAGCGGAGACGGTGTTCGATCGGATTGCGCGAAACCAGGAGCAGGCTCACCACGAGGACAGTCACCACCGTTTCCACGCCGGCGCGCCGGCTCCGCCTATTCCCGATCGTCGCGACGACCTGTTCTTGCGGCGCATCATTGGCCAGCACGACCCGCACTACTCACACACGACCGACGGCATTCCAGCTACGAGAGTGTTCCCACCGTTCCGCGGTGGTGCGATGCAGCGACCACCGCCTCCGCCACCGCTGCCGCCCGACGGCGGGGCATTGCTCGATCGCGGGCAGTCGAGCTTGACTGTGTGGGAGCAGGTGAGAGGCGTGCGTTCATCGTAGCGAGGCTGCTTCGTAACGTGCACGCTACGAATACTCGTGCGTGCATTCGCTTGTGTCTCGCCGGCTATGGTCTCAGTGTTTGTTTATGTCTCAGTTGTTGTTGTTGTTGTTGTTGTTGTTGTTGTTGTTGTTGTTGTTGTTGTTGTTGTTGTTGTTGTTGTTGCTGCTGCTGCTGCTGCTGCTGCTGCTGCTGTTATATCTACTCTCCTCTACTGCATGTGTCATCATCTATCGTCATCATCTGCTGATTGTGTCTGCATTGTTTTAATTCACATTTCCGTCTCTGCTCCCCTCTATTCTTCCGGCACAGATGAATCAGAACTTTCAGCTTAGGGAGACTATCCGTCTGGATGGGAAGGAGCCGCATGCAGCAATGCCGCTGATCGGGTCTTTTGCATCGGGGAAAAAGTCGCCGCCGATGGGCATCCTCAAACCTAAGAAGGCATACAACGTCTGTGAGTGTGATCATTTACAATCATCAGTGCTATTTTGGTGGGTAAGTGGCTGGGGGACAGCTAGATATGTAGTGGATGGATAGATGGGCGGGTGGATTAGATGAGTGGTTTGCAGGGCGAAAGGTTTGGATGGGTGGATGGATGGATAGATGATTGGGTGGGCAGTTGGATCAGTGGATGACTAGTAGGATAAATAGGTGGTTGTGTGATGGGTGGTAGGATGGGTGGGTTGGTCTGTACTGAGTAAAGATGTGGATGGATGTGTGGTAGGCAGATAGGTGGGTGGGTGTTTGGATGAGAGGTTCGCTGGGTGTCTGCTGGTTGGATGGGTGGCTGGGTGTGTGGTGGTTGGTTGGGCGGCTGCTGCATGTGTAAATGTGATATTGTTTGACTGAACACACTTCATTCAAGATGATTGACCGCACGTATAACCGTCTCTCATTGTAGCGATTATTCTGGGAAGTCTGCGCATATCCGTAAACCAGGTCGGCAAAGCATTATATCAGATGGATGAGAATGCTCTGGACCCCGACTTCCTGCGCCGCCTGGTGGCCTATTTACCCGATAATTCTGAGGTAGCAAGTTTTGTATATCGCCTCGTAGCTAAATGCAGCCGTCATTATGTTCGTTTTGTATCAAGTACTGGTTGCCAACAATACTTCAATTTTTGACGATAACAAGTTTTGCAAGGCTGTGTAAATCAATAAAGGGTACACTAAAAAACATACTTGTGCATTGCAAAGCATTGATCACAAGGGAAACATGGTTTTGTGAATTGCGAAAGTCACTGTAGCCGAAGGCCGGAGGTACATACTAGCCTATAACTTGATGGCTTTTAATTTTGTTTGAGTTTTACCCATTAGTCAAGTGTATTTAAAACAATATTCAGTAAAACCTGTGGCCTAATTCAATAATAAATTTAATCCTAACTCTAATTGACTATCCATAACCTTAAACCCAGCCGTTTGTTAATCTTAGCCTAACCTTAATCGTAACTTAAAGTACCCTAGGTTTTGTACCCACGAAGAGGCATATTTTTGCACTGTATAGTGTGCCCTTTGCTGATGTCTATATCACCAAGAATTACTTATATCGATGTCCCCTTGATTGCAGTTGGAGAAATACGACAGCCTGTCCGCACGGGATATCCCGAGACTGAACCAGGCTGACCAGTTTGTTTACGAGTTGACGCAGGTGCCCGGCTACGAGAGCCGCATTCGTGCCCTTGTACTCAAGTACATCTTCATGGAGAAAGTTGAGGAGGTCAGACAGGTAGGTGCAACAACTAGGGAGGGTTGGATGTCATTGACAGGTGGGTGCTACAACTAGGGAGGGTTGGATGTCATTGACAGGTGGGTGCTACAACTAGGGAGGGTTGGATGTTATAGACAAATGCATGCTACAACTGGCTGGGGATGGTTGATGAAAAGTTCATTACCAAATAACAAACAAACATAGGCCTAATACTGGCAGCTAGTTGAGGACCAGATCAATGAAATATAGTTTTGTAATAATTAAGCTGTCAGTATTATCATGTTTGTTTGTTATTTGGTAATGAACTTTTCATTTCTACATTATTGCATGTGTACATTATAATTGTGTTTGTTGATGATTTAACCAATTACCGGGTACTGCATTAATTATTATGCTCTCTAATCTATCGTAAAACTAATAACCTTACTCCTAGGAGTGGCAGACTGATGGCCTGCGCGCAGGTTTTTCGCTATTCCTGTTTTTATTCAATGCTATTACTGAGGCTCATAGGGTCTTTAGGAGATCTATCTCGTGTAAAAAAGCGCAGCTATCACGGAGAATGCATCGCAATATTCCTCGCATTGGACTTCGCAATTCAAACTACTCTGGCACTCCAGCAAATAATCAGAAAACTCCAGAATCTTCTTTCGGACTGCCAAAGCGCCATTCTCACCGTCACGGGCCCCCCAACATAAACAAAAAATTTTACAAACACTTACCTCAAACATCTAAGAAAGGAGTAAAAGCAGACTAATAGCACACAATAGACAAATCAAATTGACATTTGCTGGTAGGGCAAGGAGCATGCAGGCCTGGGCTGCAATGAACTTGCAGACAAAGAAGCGAAACGGGCAGCCTTCGAGCCTGCAGAAATGGAGTATATCTGAAGACCACTCTCCGCTTTCTTTCTCCGAGGCCAAAGGAGAAATCAAGAAAGCCTTGGTAGAACGATGGCAGAGTTCATGGGACAGCTCTGTTCAAGGCAGGTACTTCATCCATCTGGAGCCTAAGGTAAACAAAAGGCAGCGTCGCAGCCTCACCAATCGCAGAACAGAAACCAAGCTGAACAGAATTAAACTGGACACCACTAAACTGAAAGCCCACATGTTTAAGATCGGGGCAAGTGATAGTCCCCTATGCGACTGTGGCCTCGCCATATGAAACCGTGGAACACAAGTTATTACATTGCTCACGACTCAAGGTTAGCAGGGAGAAAGATGACTGACACGATCGAACTGGGTATGTGAAGACCAACACCAACCCAAGCCATCGTCTATTGACATAGCCACCCTTATGGGCAAAACAGGAATCTTACACCAGAATGGATGCCACATCAAAACAGCCCTCTCCAGATTCCTGTCTGAGTCCACGCCAGTAATTTAGCCACATACACTCCGTTGTTACCATTTTAAAACTACAACAAACAAAATTACTATGAGGAAACACCGGTAGGCTAATGATACAAAGAGGGTTTACATTGTGACCATGACTCGTGAAGTAGGAGGATAAACGAATAAACAACAACACAACAACAATATTAGATAGTACGAGGGGTACCTCCAATAGTAGGCTTGTGCCCCAATTAATTCTGATCTACTCCTCTCCTCAGTAATGCTGAGAGGGTCTAATGTCACACGGGGTACTGCGGAACGTACCCTGGATACTATCTAATATGTCGACCGTACCTTGCCTACTCCACTAACAAGTCTAGGGAGTCGCCCTACGCCCCTACTCCCTAAACCCTAACCCTAACCTAACCATATCAAGTAGTGACGACATGCAGGGTACGTTCCGGTATAACGGACCGACCCAGGTACGTTCCGGCAAGTACCCTGGGGGACATAGA